CAACGTGTCTGTCAAAGCAAAAACACAAGAGAAAAAGATGACAACGAAAATCTTAACCTGATTTGTTAGATTTTCTTCCTCTGGAACTGTTAGGCTTCCCCGGGATATCCCCCCCCCCTCACCCCCCCCCCCCCCCCCACACACACACACACACACACCCCCTACCTCTTCTCGTCTACATGGGGAGGTCTGCAAAGCAACAATTTTTCAAATAAAAATGCTTACTGTGTTATTTATACGATCTTATGCCTACTAACTTGTTGATCTGGGTCGGCATTGTCTGCATCATCTTCCTCGCCAAACAATCCCGCAGTTGCTTGCCAAAATGTTGAAGACCAGTCCGACATTATTGCAATTTGCTGACTAGCAATTTGGACAATTTGAGGTCTGCAAAACAATCATTTTCGTGTGAATATAATTTTCAAAATCGTAAAACTGGTGGCCAGGAAACTACGAAATGACTACTTCATTAAAGCAATAAAAACGTAAATAGTTACAAAAGCGTAAAAGCTATCTGATGCAGCAAAACCTTTGAAGCGAAGATTCCGGCGAAGATTCAACTCCTTCCCCGCGTTCTTCTCCATTCCCAGTCCACTCGCAGAAAGTCGAGCAACGCTTCGTGTATGCCACCAGAAGTGTCCAAGGCAAATAAGTAGAACCCAGTCTCAGCTCGTTTCGGTGGCGAAATTATCACGGCTGAGCGACAGGGACACAGAATCCAGTTTTTGGCTGGGAGATGGAGTGGAGATGCTTCTCTGTCAGTGAAATGACGAAATGAGGTATGGAATTAAAGGACTGTTCACAGCCTCTCTATTTTCTCAGATCGTTGTAGCCGCGAGCGAACTGGAACTGAGCGCGAAGCGCGACCCCCACCCGCGAGAGGCGAGGGAGGGAAAAGAGGGTGGAAACGATTTTTTTTTCGCAATGGGGTGGTAACCAGGAGTACAAGGTATGGGAAGTGGGAACTTCAGACCCCCCCCCCCCCCGTTCCCACCTACTCCCAGTTTATTTTTACTCTGTGTTTTCGCGCGTGTGCGCTTGTGCGTGCTTGCGTGTTTTTTCTTTGGAGGCTTCAAACCAACGCGACGAGTGTCAGCTAGAAACGTGGCGGTTTGACAAACAGTCAAGGCTCAATATTTCGATCAGTAGCTGTCTTTTTATTTACTGAGCTTCTTTACAGTTTAGACCTTATTTTCCCATAACATCTTATGACATTGCTACTGATTACGTTCCGATTTCAAAGCACAGTTGCTACAACTGAAATTCAAGCTTCAATTTGCAATACACATCAATCTGATCCTTTGCTGCTGCCTCATAGTGGTCGACACCGTCGCGATTGACCCGACCCATGTATTTTCCGTTGTCCGCTTTTAGGACCACAGTACATCGGGTTGATTGAGAACTGTAAATTGGCTGTACACGTCTGGGCTGCCCTTCGAGGCTTCAATGAAATCGACCCTGCCATAGTATGGGACGTGGCGTTTATTCTCGATATATATTTTCCGTTGTCTGCCTGTAGCACCAGTTTGCCATTGATCTCTGTGGCAACGAACCTTGTATAATGATCTTTCTCGTTCTTTGCCACCTCAATATTGTCGTATCTGTACAGCTCCGCAAATGATCCCGGAGACCGCAAATGATCCCCGACCGCAAATGATCCCCCCAAATTGGACCGCAAATGATCCCGAACCGCAAATGATCCCCAGAGTGGGACCGCAAATGATCCGCTAAAAATCTAGGAATGGCGTGGACGGTGGACCCGATTTTTTTTCCATTTTGAATATTTTCCTGAGAACTGAATCTGTGCACGCTAGACATTTTTTATCTAGGTTACTGGTGACGGAAGTGATCGAATTTTTTCATGCAGTGATGCAGATTAAGGAGCAATTTAGCCATTTTCACACTGCAAACACATGGGAGAAGCAGCTACCTCGCATGACATTGATAACTGAGGTGAGACACCTTGACGGTTCAGATTGACCTTTGATTTCGAGATCGGATGTCAATCACCGTGACAGCAACTTCGCTTGTCTTCACAAATAATTACAGTCGAACCCCTCAGTTTTAAGCGGCCCGTTATCAAAGTACCGAAACTACTGTCAATATGAAACCCTGTATGGTCGTCCGATGAGAGTTCTCCTCTAGGAGCTGAAAAAAAATTCACAGTTTTCACCGGCACTTCATCCAGTGCAGTCATGCCGCCAAAACAGCATGAAATAGAATTCACCGGAAATGTTATTTGCCGATTTCGTGAAGTAGTTTGCTGTAACGGTGTCAATTCCATGTCTAGCTTGTTTCATGGCGCAGAATACCGTCTTTAATCTCGAAATATATAGATAAATGAATATTTGTGACGCGAAAACAATATAACATGCGGTGTTAACTCTTGTGTAAGTCTGCAATAATTCTAGACGCGGATAAATTTTTCCGCGAAAACCCCCAAACACATTCTCGAATTAACTATTTTTACTCGCGTTTAATAGTTTCAATGATTTTGAATTTATTTATTTTTTACTAAAATTAATCTGCATCAATGCATGAAAAAAAAACGATCACTTCCGTCATCAGTAACCAGGTAACTAGATAAAAATGTTCTAGCGTGCACGGTTTCAGTTCTTGGGGAAAATATTGAAAAGGGGAAAAAATCGGGTCCACCGTCCACGCATTCCTCGATTTTTTAGCGGGATCATTTACGGTTCACTCTGGGGATCATTTGCGGTCCCGGGATCATTTGCGGAGCTGTACATATCCTCCACGACGACACGACTGAGATATTTGCCATTGTCACCTTTGAAAGCCACGCCAACGCAGGCGGAGGAGGAGGCTAAGAAATATGGATAGAAACTAACGTTATGCAACCTCGTCCCCAGGGCCATCTAAGCTTTCAAGATGGCGGGTGGGCGCGAAGAAGATCCTGGCGAAGAGCAGGTCCACGTGTCTCCAAAAATATTGGAGATTTTGATTGTTTCAAAATGGCGGCGGGCTCGCGATTGGCTAATTTTGTGGTCAACGTGACCTGCTCTTCGCCAGGGTCTACTCTTCGCGCCCACCCGCCATCTTGAAAGCGGAGATGGGGACGAGGTTGAGCGTTATGTTTGTTTCAACCTTACAGACTGGCCATTTTGACTTTTTTTAAGCCACATATAGCCTCCAGGCGTTCGGTTAGTGGCGGAGGGCGCAAATACTCTCTGAAATGTTTGGCGGGGTTGTGCGGCCTGCCTCTGAAACCCTTACCCTATTTCAGACCAAAACATGTGATTTTTCCATACTCTATTTTCACACCTGACCCAAAAATCAGACCTATAAAATTAGTACATTTGTCTAATACATGATTTCAGCTACCCAGGAATTGGTTCCGTTTGCGTACAGATTTGAGAAGGGCTTCAATGTTTATGGCAAAAAATAGTTTCGTCTAAAAGCCAAACCAAATTCCAGGCAAGAGTTCACAAAACATACCCTATTTCATACCAAAATGGTCCGGGGCCGGGGGGGGGGGAAGGCACAAATCACAAATAATAGCGAAGGGGACACGGAAGAAGAAGCGAAGTTGCCGACTTTCCGCTTTGTCTTCTCTGTGGTTCCTGTGGCTTATGTACGATCTTACCTTTACGGACGAAAACACAAATGAGTTACCGCAACAGCTTCAAAACACTTCATGGTGGATGATTCCTATATGAAGAAGAAAAAAAACAGTGACACACACTCCACTCGGTCGACAGCCACTTGGCCGGCCACTCCCAACTCTTTCACCCAGCTCTTCACTCCTTTCCACTTCTCTGCCATTCTGCGCCAAGTTGTTCTTGGTCTACCTACACTTCTCCTACCCACTGGAAGCCACGTCAATGCTTTTCAAATATATTAATGACCATGTTGTGTATACGACGGGTGACATATATTGCCTGGTTAATCTCGTACCCAGATCTTCTCAACCCTCGTAGAGCGAGAACATCTGGGTACGAGATATATTGCCTGGTGTCAAAAGAAAACCCAAAGAAAGAAGATTTTCTGCAATACTTATACTTATACTTATTTTAGACTCGATTTAGAAAGCAAAAATGGCTCAAAGAAGGCTTGTCTTTAAAACGAGCTGATAATTTAATTCCGTACAAATCTACCTTACAAATTCACTAGCTGATTGCAATCAGTTAATTTGTGAAGTTGTCTCTAGATCTTGCTACGAAAAACGCCCTAAAATACGGTTCTCTTCAAATTGAATGTAAACCGAAACTTGGCTTGTTACCGCGTTTCCTTTCTTGTGCGGGAAAAAACATTGCAAAAAATAAAAAAATAAAAAACAAGACTGTTGGCAGGAGTAAGATTCTCGACTCAAAAATTCTACAATTTTGTCCAAAAACCGTTTAGCTCACTTACCTTTAGTTTGAGTGTAGTTTTGACCGTTTGTTCTTCAGGTGAAAGTTTCTCCAAGTGAAGTGATGTCTCTTGAATGTATTTTGCACTTTTATGCACTTGAAATCATACGTGGTTTAGGTATCCAGTATGCTGCCTGGAATGTCAGTCTCTATGAATCAGCCATAACAGACAAATGGACAAAGTGATTAGTTTCTAATGAAACTGTGGTGCTGCGTCGGCGGGCAAGTGAAACACTATGTTGATTATCAACTCAGAGTTGATAAAGGTAAATTAACCGCCGTAGCGAATTTCTACAGCTAGCGTTCGACCGGTGTGCGGAAGGTCATAGGTTCAACTCCTGTTTTCCGGGAAACTCGGAAGAAAATTGAAATTCCAAATTGAGTCGTTTTTCCCTAATTGCAAAATGATTCGCTACGGCGGTTAATTTACCTTTATCAACTTTGAGTTGATAATCAACATAGTATAAACAGACAAAGTCCAACTCGTGCGTGCAAATTGTGCCAGGGGCGAAAAGTAATGAGAGTAGAACATACATCTCTTGGAAATATGTGTCACGGAAAGGTCAATTTATTTTCACCCGGCTTGAAGAGTCGTTTTAATTTGAATTATATGACCTAAGTTCCCACGAGTCTCCTGTAGCTCAGTAGTAGAGCGTTCGACCGGTGTACGGAAGGTCATAGGTTCAACTCCTGTTTTCCGGGAAACTCGGAAGAAAAATTGAAATTCCAAATTGAGTCGTTTTTCCCTAATTGCAAAATGATTCCGAACCCACTGTTCCAACCATGGCAACACGATGGATAAAACCAACCTTCTTAGACTGCGAGCTGTCCCTCTTTCTTTCCGATAGCGGAAGTTATTGCCTGTGCACTTTTTTCTACATCTCGGAGAGTTTTATCTGACTTATACAATAAAAAGTCTGTCTTATACAAAGTTACTTTTTTAATAATTTTCCAAGAAAAGTATGTTTTACTGTGAGTCATTACTTTTCGCCCCTGGCACAATTTGCGCACGAATTGGAGTTTGTCTGTTAATGGTTGATTCATAGAGACTACATTCCACACAGCATAGTGAAAACCCAAGCCACGTACGAGCCATTTTATTAATATACCAGTTTTACACCACAAGCATTTTCAGGCACAGCACCCTTAAAATTTAAACTATGAGCAGTTCCTCTTCCCCCAGAACGTCGAGCGAGAATCGAAATAAAGCGGGAAATTTGGGACGCGTGCCTAAAATTTAAGGTATGGTACCAGCCGGCACCCTCAATGTTTGTTGTATAAATCACTTGTATTGTAGTTACTAGAACTGATAAACAGAATGTTCGGATGTAGTAGCTCGGATGAAAGTACTATTTCTTCGGATGAAAGTTTCGTGCAGGATTTATAACAGTTATAATTGAATTTTGAATTAGTGAAGTGTTGATTAGTCAAATTATTGCCTGAACCGTCGATGTGATTGGTGAGGTGGACTAGATATTACAGCCGCCTCTTTTATGTGGCGCGAATCTACGGGCGGTGTGAATTTGCTGTAAGTAGCCTTACGTCATCTCAATATTGTTTCGTGGTGGTAATGAATTTCAAGATTTCAAAGGACGGGGGACTGAAAAGACCAGCTTAATATTAAAACAAAAATTGAACTGTGCTAATTCTATCATACACGGTATCTGGCCCGTGGCTCCTGGTATCTGACATGATTTCAAAGTGTGTTATGCTAATTGCAATGTTTAATCTTTTTTTCAATGTTCACGTTTCTAAAATTGCGTGTACCGTGTGGTATGGTCTTGTTATTTGTCATTTGATTTGGATTATATATTTTTTTTTATCTCACGTATGTTTATTTATTGAGACGTTTTGGTCTGAAACACCACATAGATTTTTTGCCCATTTGAGCTGCAAAGCCGGCATAAGCTCTAGGACCTCTAGGGTCCTCTAGGGGTTTTTAAAATACGTACTTAGCTAAGGTACAAAATGCATATTCAAGGCTGGGTGGTTCATTTTCACCCAACATTTTGAGGGATTCCCCATTGCTTATGTTTTTGCAAAAATGTAAAATACAGAGATGCTGAGTACCCTGTTAAACGAGATAACCAACGCGCGCTTTGATTTAATCTCCCAGGACAGGATACAACGACTCGTGATGATCACCAAAGCGCGCTAATATATCGTAACCTGTGGATGTGCGATTTATTTATCTACAGTCGAACCCCTATTAAGCGGCCATCTATTAAGCGGCCACCCCCTCTTAAGCGGTCAGTTAGAAAAGTCCCGAAACTATTGTCAGTAAGACATTGTAAATAAAACTCCTTTTAAGCGGCCATCTCTATATAGCAGCCGCGGCCACCTTTTGGCCGTCCTGATGAGGGTTCTTCTATTTGTTTTTACCCCTATTAAGCGGCCACCAAGAATTTAATATACGGAGTTTGGCCTTGTTTTGAAAAGAACTGATCACAGATAAGAGTCCAAACAGAAAAGGTGACGACTGATAAAAACATTCAAACACATATTTATTATTCTCTTGACTTGATTCTGTTGTCAGTAATCTTTTGATTTTCTTCCACGTTTATGTTAATTTATGACGAAGCCCTATTAAGCGGCCACTTGCCATTCCCCCGAGGGTGACCGCTTAATAGAGGTTCGACTGTATTTTGATTGTATGTGTTTGTTTTCTACATTTATTTCGTCGATCAGTCCACTTTTTCATCATCCATAACAGACCACACTACATTTGCCATATACGGAGTCATTACGGAATACGATACCTCCGCTGACCTGTTCAAAGTTGTGGGCAAAACCCGTTCGTCGGCGCCAGTCTCTTCTGTAGCTTTACTAAACTTTGTGAAGGCGTTCGTTCTGTGTTTCAGCCGCAATTTCACTGGTACATCTGCTGTATTGGGTCGTCTTTTAACAGATACTACAGGAATGATTCTGTTGTTCTTTGTCCTATCCTTGCTTACATTCACTTTGGGAAAGACACAAGTTATTTTGCGGGATTTTCCATTCCCTTGCCGAAAATTTTCATCTTCTTTAATTATGAGCCCCTTTTCCGGATGCGAATAATTATGCTTAACTGTCTCTAAATTATTATAATGGGTTTCCGGACGCAAATAATTATGCTTAAATGTCTCTAAATTATTATAATTTATTCGACTTGTTGTGTTAAAGCGATGATGTAACAGTTCTTTGTAGTCTAATTCCAATCATCATCAAACATGGCTGAGTTAGAAGCAAAGCTTGTAGATCTAGTAAAACACGACATAGACTTGTTTTCAGAACCAGTTTGGCAGGCTTGGTCATCAGGGTCCGGAGTAGGTTGCGGTGGTCTGGGTTCCACAAACGTTTCGTCAATAAACCCGCTCGACGCACTCTCGTTCCCAGACCCACTCGTCAAGTGAAAGAAGGATGAAGTTTCTCTTGCTCCCCTCATCTCTTCAAATCGCATTCCTTGAATTTTTGCAAGTGTACTGGGATCAGGGCCTGCCCGTGTTTGGGTTTTCGATCCATCGCTGCTATAATCTGAATCTTTTGAACTAAATAAAGACGATTGCCCAGTTTCAGGCCTATCACGCACATCCAGAGAGCGAGTTTGATCAAATACATCACTTTTGATTTCTTCCAAATTTAAACATGCACTGCAGTCAGTTTCCTTGATAACATCAGCTTCGGTTTCAGAATCACTACTAGACTCGCCATGATTTGCCTCCGTTTGCCACCAACCGTTGCTAGGCAACACATCGCATCCATTGGCTCCCAAAGTCAATGGAAGTCTTTCCAATTTTAATTGCCCCTTCGTTTCTTCTCTGTTATTACTACTTGGAGACGTTGGGGAAATTCGAGGTGGACTGGATGGTTCAGTCTTTGACGATGAAAACACGTCTCTTGGCAATAAAGTGGAAGATTTTCCATACCGCGAGCGGTTTGATTGTGAATTTAAAGGTTTATGAACCGATGTGTCAGGGCATTTCAGTGCAAAGTGTTTGAAGTATCTTCCGTTAACCGTTTTGCATTCGATCGTCCTTTCAATATCTTCTTCTCTTTCAACATAATCAATCTTTTCTCTTCTTTCAACGCTTGGTCTAACTTGATATATTTCCGCGTTGTTGTTAAGCAGTCCGTTGAGGTGTTTTGATAAACAATCGTTCATGTCTCTTTTAAGAAGTTTATCAAGATTATGGAAAAGTTTTTCCAAAGAAACTTGAGTCTTTCGCGAACGTTCTTCAAAATCAATGCGAGCTTCTGTCGGAGGAAACCATTCCATATTTTTTTTCTGTGGTGAGAAGTTAAGTTGGCAGAGTATAATTGTTATCTTAACATTTATGAATGTTATTATATATAATCGGTCACCTGCTAGCTGCCGGCTGCCAGTAATAATAATCTGCCTCGTGAATATTGCCAAGTACTGTATAGACCACTAACAAACTCGTGATTACATATACAAAGTACTGCATAGAAATGCTAATACTGAAATTATAGACCTGCTTCGTGAATAACAAATACTGTATAGACTATGTTCGCTTATCTGTCTTGGAGCTTGCAAGGTATGCTGGGAGAAAGCTTTTAAAGTCCTTGGACATGGGAAGTAGGCAACGATAATTTAAAATTTGAGTTTTGACTAGCGATTCGAGAAAACAAAGTGATTATGCATGGCTTTTCTGATATTTTACTTGTTGGATTGCAATTTATTTAGGCTAAATATTTGCAGTACTCTGGCAAGAATGGGAGCTTTAATTAAAACCAACTTTTATACTTTCTCTACTGCTAAACATTTGAATAACAATGAATTTCACTACCTCCCGCCAACGGCTTCTAAACTATATATGGCAGGGCTATTTTTACATTTTTGTAATTTATTGAAAATTCTGAAAAATGTCGCTAATAAATTCGCCTCTTTTTCATCAAAATTGAACTAAGGTAACGTCTTCGCGTTGAAACTTGCTTTCCAAGTTGTGGGAGATCTTGCATGGTCAATTCTTAAATGAAAATAGACTGCAAAACAGTCTCTTTTTCTCGAGATATTGTACGCGACGCGCGAATTGTATTTAGCTTCAATATCGCTATCTGCATAAAGCTGGATCGACTGTCAAAAGTGAGAGGCGCGAACGGCCGATAATCCACGCGTCTCTCCCCAATCCCGCTCGTAATTTTCACGCTCGTTCCAGATCCTTTTCGGGCCACGTTCAGCCCGACTCTTGCGCTAAAATACGGACTGTTTTGCAGTCTAAAATGAAAACTGTAGTCCGGTGTTAATTTCCTTGAGATAAGAAAATGAAAACATATTAGAGACAATTTCGATCGTAATATAATTCATCTTCAAAACGTGAACGGAATGATTCAATTCGGCAAACAATGATCCGAAATTCTAAATAAGTTATTGTGTACACTGAAAAATTGTTATTATGATAGAATCTCAACTGAAAAAATAAATCGGATGATAAATTCACTCGCTCACTCATTCATCCTTGTTATGATAAGAAATTTACACATTGATAAATGATGTAGAAATACCTCTACATAAACGTTTGGTCGCGCGGTTTAGATTCAATCCTACATGCGAAATCGAATTGAAGTTGAATCTAAACTTTAAAAGATGCCTCGTCCCACGCTGTGCGAATACAGTGGCTTGAATAACCGATTCTAGATTAGTCAGCCGTGTTTTCTCAAAGTTTCACTAAAGAAATTAAATAAGCGAGATCACCTGTGTTACCGTGC